CCAGTCAACACAATGGGTTCTAACCGGTCCACACAATGGGTACTAACTGGTCCACACAATGGGTACTAACTGGTCCACACAATGGGTTCTAACCGGTCCACACAATGGATACTAACCGGTCCACACAATGGGCACTAACTGGTCCACACAATGGGTTCTAACCGGTCCACACAATGGATACTAACAGGTCCACACAATGGGTACAAACCGGTCCACACAATGGGTACTAACCGGTCCACACAATGAGTACTAACCGGTCCACACAATGGGTACTAAGAGGTCCACACAATAGGTACAAACCGGTCCACACAATGAGTACTAACCGGTCCACACAATGGGTACTAACCGGTCCACACAATGGGTACAAACCGGTCCACACAATGGGTACTAACAGGTCCACACAATGGGTACTAACTGGTCTACACAATGGGTACTATCTGGTCCACACAATGGGTACTAACTGGTCCACACAATGGGTACTAACTGGTCCACACAATGGGTTCTAACCGGTCCACACAATGGATACTAACCGGTCCACACAATGGGTACTAACTGGTCCACACAATGGGTTCTAACCGGTCCACACAATGGATACTAACCGGTCCACACAATGGGTACAAACCGGTCCACACAATGGGTTCAAACCGGTCCACACAATGGGTACTAACCGGTCCACACAATTGGTATTAACCGGTCCACACAATGGGTACTAACCGGTCCACACAATGGGTACTAACCAGTCCATACAATGGGTACAAACCGGTCCACACAATGGGTACTAACCGGTCCACACAATGGGTACTAACCGGTCCACACAATGCGTACTAACCGGTCCACACAATGGGTACTAACAGGTCCACACAATGGTTACAAACCGGTCTACACAATGGGTACTAACCGGTCCACACAATGGGTACTAACCGGGTCCAAACAATGGGTTCTAATCAGCCAACACAATGGGTTCTAACCGGTCCACACAATGGGTACTAACTGGTCCACACAATGGGTTCTAACCGGTCCACACAATGGAAACTAACCGGTCCACACAATGGGTACTAACTGGTCCACACAATGGGTTCTAACCGGTCCACACAATGGGTACTAACAGGTCCACACAATGGATACTAACTGGTCCACACAATGGGTTCTAACCGGTCCATACAATGGATACTAACCGGTCCACACAATGGGTACTAACCGGTCCACACAATGGGTACTAACCGGTCCACACAATGGGTAATAACTGGTCCACACAATGGGTACTAACCGGTCCACACAATGGGTACTAACCGGTCCACACAATGGGTACAAACCAGTCCACACAATGGTACAAACCGGTCCACACAATGGGTACTAACCGGTCCACACAATGGGTACTAACCGGTCCACACAATGGGTACTAACCTGTCCACACAATGGGTACTAACCGGTCCACACAATGGGTACTAACCGGTCCACACAATGGATACTAACTGGTCCACACAATGAGTACTAACAGGTCCACACAATGGGTACTAACCGGTCCACACAATGGGTACTAACCGGTCCACACAATGGGTACTAACCGGTCCACACAATGGGTACTAACCGGTCCACACAATGGGTACTAACCGGTCCACACAATGGGTACAAACCGGTCCACACAATGGGTAATAACCGGTCCACACAATAGGTACTAACCGGTCCACACAATGGGTACTAACCGGTCCACACAATGGGTACAAACCGGTCCACACAATGGGTACAAACCGGTCCACACAATGGGTACTAACAGGTCCACACAATGGGTACTAACCGGTCCACACAATGGGTACAAACCGGTCCACACAATGGGTACTAACCGGTCCACACAATGGGTACTAACCGGTCCACACAATGGGTACAAACCGGTCCACACAATGGGTACTAACAGGTCCATACAATGGGTACTAACTGGTCTACACAATGGGTACTATCTGGTCCACACAATGAGTACTAACAGGTCCACACAATGGGTACTAACCGGTCCACACAATGGGTACTAACCGGTCCACACAATGGGTACAAACCGGTCCACACAATGGGTACAAACCGGTCCACACAATAGGTACTAACTGGTCCACACAATGGGTACTAACCGGTCCACACAATGGGTTCTAACCGGTCCACACAATGGGTACTAACCGGTCCACACAATGGGTACTAACCGGTCCACACAATGGGTACTAACAGGTCCACACAATGGTTACAAACCGGTCTACACAATGGGTACTAACCGGTCCACACAATGGGTACTAACCGGTCCACACAATGGGTACTAAGAGGTCCACACAATGGGTTCAAACCGGTCCACACAATGGGTACTAAGAGGTCCACACAATGGGTTCAAACCGGTCCACACAATGGATACTAACCGGTCCACATAACTTAAAACTAACATAGACAATCCCCAACTCAGATCTTACTCAAGTCATCCCTAGATTACTCATCCATTATTCATCCATTACTCACCAATACTTACTCAAAACAAGTCGACTTACAGTTGTAGAACAAGCTAAGTTGTAGGGAGCGTCCCCCAGTCCTTCACCTGAGATCTTAACCGGGTCCTCCAGTAGGAGCCAACAGTTCAGGGCTAGCGCTGTGATCAGTAGGAGCCAACAGTTCAGGGCTAGCGCTGTGATCAGTAGGAGCCAACAGTTCAGGGCTAGAGCTGTGTTCAGTAGGAGCCAAGAGTTAAGAGCAAGAGCTGTGTTCCGTAGGAGCCAACAGTTCAAGGATAGGGTGGTGTTCAGTAGGAGCAAACAGTTCAGGGCTACGGCTGTGTTCAGTAGTAGCCAACAGTTCAGGGCTAGGGCTGTGTTCAGTAGGAGCCAACAGTTCAGGGTTAGAGCTGTGTTCAGTAGGAGTCAACAGTTCAGGGTTAGGGCTGTGTTCAGAAGAAGCCAAAAGTTCAGGGCTAGGGCTGGGTTCAAAAGGAGCCTACAGTTCAGGGCTAGGGCTGTGCTCAGTTGAAGCCAACAGTTCAGGGCTAGGGCTGTGTTCAGTAGGATCCAACAGTTCAGGGCTAGGGCTGTGATGAGTATGAGCCAACAGTTCAGGGCTTGGCCTGTATTCAGTAGGAGCCAACTGTTCAGGGCTAGAGCTGTGTTCAGTAGGAGCCAACAGTTCAGGATTAGGGTTGTTTTCAATTGGAGTCAACAGTTAAGGGTTAAGGCTGTGTTCAGTAGGAGCCAAAAGTTCAGGGCTAGCGCTGTGATCAGTATGAGCCAACAGTTTAGGGTTAAGGCTGTGTTCAGTAGGAGCCAACAGTTCAGGGCTACGACTGTGACCAGTAGGAGGCAACATATCAGTGCTAAGGCTCTGTTCAATAGGAGCCAACAGTTCAGGGCTAGGGCTGTGTTCAGTAGGAATCAACAGTTCAAAGCTATTGCTGTGTTCAGTAGGAGTCAACAGTTCAGAGCTATTGCAGTGTTCAGTACGAGTCAACAGTTCAGGGCTAAGGCTGTGTTCAGTAGGAGCTAACAGTTCACGGCTAGGGCTGTGTTCAGTAGGATCCAACAGTTCAGGGCTATGGCTGTGTTCAGTAGGACCCAAAAGTTCAGGGCTAGGCCTGTGTTCAATAGGAGCCAACAGGTCAGGGCTTGGGCTGTATTAGGTACGAGCCAACAGATCAGGACTAAGGCTGTGTTCAATACCAGCCAACACTTCAGGGCTAGGGCTGTGTTCAGTAGGAGCCAACAGTTCATGGCAAGAGCTGTGTTCAGTAGAAGTCAACAGTTCAGGGCTTGGGCTGTGTTCAGAAGGAGCTAACAGTTCAGGGCTAGGGCTGTGTTCAGTAGGAGCCAACAGTTCAGGGCTAGGGCTGTGTTCAGTAGGAGCCAACAGTTCAGGGCTAGGGCTGTGTTCAATCCCAGCCAACAGTTCAGGGCTAGGGCTATGTTTAGTAGGAGCCAACAGTTCAGGGCTAGGGCTGTGTTCAGTAGGATCGAGCAGTTCAGGGCTATGGATGGGTTCAGTAGGAGCCAAAAGATCAGGGCTATGGCTCTGTTCAGAAGGACACAACAGTCCAGTACTGTGTTTAGCAGCAGTCAATAGTTCAGGGCAAGGGCTGTGTTCAGTAAGAGCCAACAGCTCTGGGCTAGGGCCGTATTCAGTAGGAGCCAACAGTTCATGGCTCCGGCTGTGTTTAATACCAGCCAACAATTCAGGGCTTGAGCTGTGTTCAGTAGGAGTCAACAGTTCAGGCCTGGGGCTGTGTTCAGTAGGAGTCAACAGTTCAGGCCTGGGGCTGTGTTCAGTAGGAGTCAACAGTTGAAGGCTAGGGCTATGTTTAGTAGGAGCCAACAGTTCAGGACTAGGGCTGTGTTCAGTAGGAACCAACAGTTGAAAGCTAGGGGTGTGTTCAGTAGGAGACAACAGTTATAGGACAGATCTGTGTTCAGTAGGAGCGAATAGTTCAGGGCAAGGGCTGTGTTCAGTAGGAGCGAATAGTTCAGGGCTAGGGCTGTGTTGAATAGGAGCAAACAGTTCAGGGCTAGGGCTGTGTTCTGTAAGAGTCAACAGTTCAAGGCTAGAGCTGTGTTCAGTATGAGTCAATAGGTCAGGGCTAGGGCTGTGTTCAGTAGGAGCCAACAGTTCAGGGCTAGGGCTGTGTTTAGTAGAAGCCAACAGTTCAGGGCTATGGCTGTGTTCAGTAGGAGTCAACAGTTCAGTCTGAGAGTTGTGTTCAGTAGTAGCCAACAGTTCAGGCAGAGGGCTGTGTTCAGTACGAGTCAACATTTCAGGGCTAGGGTTGTGTTCAGTAGGAGCCAACATTTCAGGGCTAGGGCTGTGTTCAGTAGGAGGTAACAGTTCAGGGCTAGGGCTGTGTTCAGTGAGAGCTAACAGTTCAAGGCTAGGGCTGTGTTCAGTAGGAGTCAACAATTCAGGGCTAGAGCTGTATTCAGCTCTAGCTAGGGTATTCAGTATGAGCCAAACGTTCAGGGCTAGGGCTGTGTTCAGTAGGATCCAACAGTTCATTGCTAGGGCTGTATTTCTGTTGGAGCCAGCAGTTCAGGGCTAGGGCTGTATTTAGTACGAGCCAAAAGATCAGACCTAGGGCTGTGTTCAATACCAGCCAACAGTTCAGGGCTAGGGCTGTGTTCAGTAGGAGCCAACAGTTCAGGGCAAGAGCTATGTTCAGTAGGAGTCAAGAATTCAGATTTAGAGTTGTGTTCAGTAGCAGCCAACAATTCAGGGCTAGGGATGTGTTCAGTAGGAGTCAACAGTTCAGGGCCAAGGCTGTGTTCAGTAGGAGCCAATAGTTCAGGGCTAGGGTTGTGTTCAGTAGGAGCCAATAGTTCAGGGCTAGGGCTTTGTTCAGTAGGAGCCAACAGTTCAGGGCTAGGGCTGTTTTCAGTAGGAGCCAACAGTTCAGGGCAAGAACTGTGTCTAGTTCGAGCTAACAGATCAGGGCAGGGTCTGTGTTCAATACCAGCCAACAGTTCAGGGCTAGGGTTGTGTTCAGTAGGAGTTAGCAGTTCAGGGCTAAGGCTGTGTTCAGAAGGAGCCAACAGTTCAGGCCTAAGGATGTGTCCAGTAATAGCCAATTATTCAGAGCTAGGGCTGTGTTTAGTAGGAGCCTAAAGTTTAGAGCTAGGGCTGTGTTCAATTCCAGCCGACAGTTTAGCACTAGGGCAGTGTTTAGTAGGAGCCAACAGTTCAGGGCTTGGGCTGTATTCAATACCAGCCAATAGTTCAGGGCTAGGGCTGTTTTCAGTGGGAGGTAACAGTTCAGGACTAGGGATGTCTTCAGAAGGAGCTAACAGTTCACGGCTAGGGCTGTGTTCAGTAGGATCCAACAGTTCATGGCTATGTCTGTGTTCAAATGGACCCAAAAGTTCAGGGCTAGGCCTGTGTTCAGTAGGAGCCAACAGGTCAGAGCTAGAGCCGTATTCAGTAGGAGCCAACAGATCAGGGCTTGGGCTGTGTTAGGTACGAGCCAACAGATTAAGGGCTAGGGCTGTGTTCAATACCAGCTAACACTTCAGGGATAGGGCTGTGTTCAGAAGAGCCAACAGTTCAAGGCAAGAGCTGTGTTCAGTAGGAGTCAACAGTTCAGGGCTAGGGCTGTGTTCAGAAGGAGCCAACAGCTCAGGGCTAGGGCTGTGTTCAGTAGGAGTCAACAGTTCAGGGCTAGGGCTGTGTTCAGAAGGAGCCAACAGCTCAGGGCTAGGGCTGTGTTCAGTAGGAGTCAACAGTTCAGGGCTAGGGCTGTGTTTAGTAGGAGCCAACAGTTCAGGACTAAGGCTGTGTTTAGTAGGAGCCAACAGTTCAGGGCTAGGGCTGTGTTCAATCCCAGCCAACTAGTTCAGGGCTAGGGCTATGTTCAGTAAGAGCCAACAGTTCAGGGCTAGGGCTGTGTTCAGTAGGACACAACAGTTCAGGGCAAGGACTGTGTTCCGTAGGAGCCAACATTTCAGGGCTGAGGCTGTGTTCAGTAGGAACCAACAGTTCAGGGCTAGGGCTGTGTTCAATCCCAGCCAACAGTTTATTGCTAGGGCTATGTTCAGTAGGAGCCAAGAGTTCAGGGCTAGGGCTTTGTTCAGTAGGATCGAACAATTCAGGGCTATAGATGGGTTCAGTAGGAACCAAAAGATCAGGGCTAGGGCTGTGTTCAGTAGGACACAACAGTTCAGGGCAAAGGCTGTGTTCAGTAAGAACCAACAGCTCAGAGCTAGGGCCGTATTCAGCAGGAGCCAACAGTTCAATGCTAGGGCTGTGTTCAGTAGGAGTCAACAGTTCAGGGCTGGGCTGTGTTCAGTAGGAGCCAAAACTTTATGATTAGGGCTGTGTTCATTAGGAGCCAACAGTTCAAAGCTCGGGCTGTATTCAGTAGGAGCCAACCGTTCAGAGATAGGACTGTGTTCAGTAGGACCCAAAAGTTCAGGGCTAGGCCTGTGTTCAGTAGGAGGCAACAGGTCAGGGCTAGAGCCGTATTCAGTAGGAGCCAACATTTCAGGGCTTGGGCTGTATTAGGTACGAGCCAACAGATCAGGGCAAGGGCTGTGTTCAATACCAGCCAACACTTCAGGGCTAGGGCTGTGTTCAGGAGAAGCCAACAGTTCTAGGCAAGAGCTGTGTTCAATAGGAGTCAACAGTTCAGGGCTAGGGCTGTGTTCAGAAGGAGCCAACAGTTCAGGACTAGGGCTGTGTTCAGTAGGAGCCAACTGTTCAGAGCTAGGGCTGTGTTCAATAGGACCCAAAAGTTCAGTGCTAGTGCTGTGTTTAGTAGGAGCCAACAGTGAACTGTTGAACTGTTGAACTGTGTTCAATCCCAGCCAACAGTTTAGGGCTAGGGCTATGTTCAGTAGGAGCCAAAAGTTCAGGGCTAGTGTTGTGTTCAGTAGGAGACAACAGTTCAGGGCTAGGGCTGTGTTCAGTAGGAGTTAGCAGTTCAGGGCTAGGGCTGTGTTCAGAAGGAGCTAACAGTTAAGGCCTAGGGCTGTGTTCAGTAAGAGCCAACAGTTCAGGGCTAGGGCTGTGTTCAGTAGGAGCCAACAGTTCAAGCCTTAGGATGTGTTCAGTAATAGCAAACAATTCAGAGCTAGGGCTGTGTTTAGTAGGAGATAAAAGTTTCATGGCTAGGGCTGTGTTCAATACCAGCCGACAGTTCAGGGCTAGGGGTGTGTTCAGTAGGTGCTAACAGTTCAGGGCTAGGGCTGTGTTCAGTAGGATCCAGCAGTTCAGGGCAATGGCTGTGTTCAGTAGGAGCCAACAGTTTAGGACTAGTGCTGTGTTCAGTAGGAGCCAACACTTCAGGACTAGGGCTGTGTTCAGTAGGAGCCAACAGTTCAGGGCTATGGCTATGTTCAGTAGGAGCCAAAATTTCAGGGCTAGACCTGTGTTCAGTAGGAGCCAACAGTTCAAAGATAGGGCTGTATTCAATAGGAGCTAACAGTTCAGGGCTAGGGCTGTGTTCAGTAGGATACAGCAGTTCAGGGCAATTGCTGTCTTCAGTAGGAGCCAAAAGTTCCGGGCTGGGGCTGTGTTCAGTACGAGCCAACCGTTCAGAGCTAAGGCTGTATTCAGTAGGAGCTAACAGTTCAGGGCTAGGGCTGTGTCTAGTTCGAGCCAACAGATCAAGGCTTGGGCTGTGTTCAATATCAGCAAACAATTCAGGGCTAGGGCTGTGTTCAGTAGGAGCCAACAGTTAAATGCTAGGGCTGTGTTCAGTCGGAGTCAACAGTTCAGTCTGAGGGTTGTGTTCAGTAGTAGCCAACAGTTAAGGCCAAGGGCTGTGTTCAGTAGGAGTCAACATTTCAGGGATAGGGTTGTGTTCAGTAGGAGCCAACAGTTCAGTGCTAGGGCTGTTCAGTAGGAGGTACCAGTTCAGGGCTAGGGCTGTGTTCAGTAGGAGCCAACAGTTCAGGGTTTGGATTGTATTCAATACCAGCCAATAGTTCAGGGCTAGGGCTGTTTTCAGTGGCAGGTAACAGTTCAGGGCTAGGGATGTGTTCAGAAGGAGCTAACAGTTCACGGCTAGGGCTGTGTTAAGTAGGATCCAACAGTTCAAGGCAAGAGCTGTGTTCATTATGAGCCAACAGTTCAGGGATAGGGCTGTATTCAATACCAGCCAACAGTTCAGGGCTAGGGCTGTGTTCAGTAGGAGCTAACAGTTCAGGGCTAGGGCTGTGTTAAGTAGGATCCAACAGTTCAGGGCTTTGGCTTTGTTCGGTAGGACCCAAAAGTTCTGGGTTAGGCCTGTGTTCAGTAGGAGCCAACAGATCAGGGCTAGGGCTGTGTTCAGTAGGAGCCAACAGTTCAGGGGTAGGGCTGTGTTCAATAGGACCCAATAGTTCAGAGCTAGGGCTGTGTTTAGTAGAAGCCAACAGTTCAGGGCTAGGGCTGTGTTCAATCAAAGCCAACAGTTTATGGCTAGGGCTATGTTCAGTAGGAGCCAACAGCTCAGGGCTAGGGCTGTGTTCAGTAGGACGCAACAGTTCAGGGCAAGGACTGTGTTTAGCAGCAGTCAATAGTTCAGGGCAAAGGCTGTGTTCAGTAAGAGCCAACAGCTCAGGGCTAGGGCCGTATTCAGTAGGAGCCAACAGTTCAGGGCTTGGGCTGTGTTTAATACCAGCCAAAAATTCAGGGCTTGGGCTGTGTTCAGTAGGAGCCAACAGTTGAAGGCAAGAGCTGTGTTCAGTAGGAATCAACAGTTCAAGGCTGGGGCTGTGTTCAGTAGGAGCCAAAACTTTATGATTAGGGCTGTGTTCAGTAGGAGTAAGTAAGTAATTATCAAAAGAAGGCACCAAACCGGGAAGGCTATGTAGCACCATCAAATGCGCAAAATAATCAGAGGGCGCTAAATATCACCAAGGATGCCAATACGAGAACAAAAACGCATATGGCGAACGATATCAAAAGTATCCGAGTCACCAAGAATTCTATTGAGGGACAGGTGACCGCGAGGGATGGTCGGAAAGGAAGACTCACGCTCGTCCTGGAAGTCAGGACATTCAAGAAGGATATGCATGACCGTAAGAGGGACAATGCAACTTGGACAATAAGGAGCAGGGCGGCGCTCCATCAAGTGACCATGGGTTAAGCGAGTATGGCCAATACGCAACCTCGCCAGAGCTGTTTCCCAGCGCCGGTTACGGTGGAAGGAGGACGGCCACGAGGAAACACAACATTTAAGAGTACGTAGCTTGTTACCAGTAACAGACAACCAAGAAGCCTACCAACGGGTAAGGACTGAGGAATGGATAACTGGGTAAAAGTCGGGATACGGAATGCCTTTACGAGAGATGGGACAAGAGCGGACAGCTTCCTTGGCGGCAGCATCCGCACGCTCATTTAAAGACACACCAATATGGCTGGGAACCCAACAAAACTCAACCGACTTAAATTTACTGTGAACAAGAAACAGCCAATGTTGGATCTCGACAACTACTGGATGGACCGGATTAAAGGACCCGAGAGCCATGAGGGCACTACGAGAGTCAACAACAACTACAAAGGAAGACTGACAACGAGAAAGCAGGAGACGAAGAGCATAGAGAATAGCATAAAGTTCCGCTATAAAGATGCTAGTCTCCGGAGGTAAGCGACACATATAAGTGCGATCAGGAAAAACAACAGAGTAGCCAACACCGTCCGCCGACTTAGACCCATCGGTGAAGACAGAAACGGAGCGGGAGTGAGAAGAAAAGTGCTCAAGGAAAAGGCGTTTTAGAACCGTAGGAGGGGTAAAAGCTTTAGTGATACAGGTCAAGGAAGTACAAAACCGCGGAAGAGGGACTCTCCACGGGGGCAAAGAAGGAACAACACGAGGAGAAACATTAGAAATACGAATGGAAAGAGAATCCTGGAGGCGAGATAACCGGACAGAAAGAGGGAGGTGGTGAAGAGGAACAGGAACCGCAGGAGGGGTAGATGTTAAAGCACGACAGAGGCGAGAGGAAGGATGTTGTAAGGACCGCGCAAGATAGCGAAGACAGTAGCGATCACGGTGGTCCTGGAGAGACAGGAAGCCAGTGTCAACATATAAGCTAAGGACGGGAGTCGAACGAAAGGCACCAGAACTGAGGCACAACCCAGTATGGTGCAAAGCATCAAGACGGCGAAGAGTAGAAGGAGAAGCAGACGAGTAAGCAGGGGAACCATAATCGAGCTTAGACAGGACAAGAGAGGAATGTAAAGTAAGGAGAGTCCGCCTATCTGCCCCCCAAGAAGTATGGGACAAGACCCGAAGGAGGGTAAAGGCCTTAGAGCACTCAACACGGAGGTAAGAGATATGGGAAGACCAAGACAAACGAGTGTCAAGGAATAACCCCAAAAGCTTCGCGGAATCTTTGTATTCAAGGGGATGACCATAAAGTGACAAAGAGGGACGAAGAACAACCCGTTTCCGCGTAAAAGTCATGGCACAAGTCTTAGAAGTAGAGAACTTGAAGCCATGATCGGTGGCCCAAGACAACACGGCATCAATTGCAAGTTGAAGCCGGCACTGAAGGAGAGGCGAATCATCACCCTGACAGCAAAGGGTAAGATCATCGACATAGAGAGCGGAGAAGACACCAGAAGGAAGAGAGGAAAGAAGATCATTTAGGGCAACCAGAAAAAGAGTAGTGCTCAGAACACTACCCTGGGGCACACCTTCGTATTGCTGAAAAGAGGCAGAGAGCGCGGTACCAAGGCGCACCCAAAAGCAACGATGAGAGAGGAAGCTGTGGAGAAAGAGAGGGAGATGACCACGAAGGCCAAAAGAATGAAGCTGGGATAGAATATGGTATCGCCAAGTGGTGTCGTAAGCCTTTTCCAGGTCAAAAAGGACGGCAACAACGGAGGTCCTCGCAGCAAAAGCAGTACGAATATAGACCTCTAAGTTCACCAGGACATTTGTCGTGCTGCGGCACTTGCGGAAACCAAATTGAGAAGGGGAGAGGAGGTGATGGCGTTCCAGGAACCACATCTAACGAACGTTAACCATACGTTCAAAGAGTTTGCAGACACAACTTGTGAGAGCAATAGGGCGAAAGTCCTTAGGGGAAGTACCCAGAGACCCCGGTTTGCGAACAGGGAGGACAACGGCATCGAGCCAGTCCTCAGGGACTGACGACGACTCCCAGATCAGATTATACAGACTCAGTAAATACTGAGACGTGCACGGAGGGAGATGGCGAAGAATCTCATAATGAATACCATCGGAGCCCGCCGCCGTAGAACTGCAGAGGGCCAGGGCAGAACGAAGTTCAGAGAGAGAGAAGGGATCATTATAGGGAAGTTGAAGACGAGTGCAGAAATCTAAAGGACGAGACTCAAGGACAGGTTTACGAAGAAGAAAAGATTGGGGAAGATGAAGACCAGAGCTAACAGAAGAAAAGTGGGAACCCAGTACGGAAGCGACCTGCAACGGGTCCGCCACAAGAGTATCATGGAGGTGAAGGACCGGTGAAACATCTGGAACGAATTTACCCGCTATCTTGCGGATACGCTTCCAGATCTGGGCCAGAGGAGTTTCGGACGTAATTGTTGAGACATAAGATGCCCAACATTCACGTTTAGCTGTACGGATGGCCCTACGGGCCACCGCACTCGCTTTCCGAAAGAAAAGAAAAGAATCGGTCGTCTGCCTACGGTGGTGCCTCTTCCAGGCTGCACGCTTACAGTGGACAGCCCAAGCACAGTCCGCATTCCACCAGGGAACGCACTTCCGTGGACCCCGAGAGGAAGAGCGAGGGATAGAGCGGAGGGCAGCGTTGAAGACAGTGTCATGAAAAAGGAGGAGAGCGCGAGAGAGATGCAGAAGGGAGAGGTCAGAGAGAGTAGCACTGAGGGTAAATAGGGTCCAGTCCGCCTTAGCAAACTGCTACTTAGGGAAAGAGAGGGAAGGGCGAAAAGAGAAAAAGGAAACAAGGACGGGGAAATGATCACTTCCATGGAGGTCATCAAGAACCTGCCACGTGAAATCTAAGTAAAGAGAAGAAGAGCAGAGAGAAAGATCAAGACAAAAAAGGGTGCGAGTCCGAGAGTCCAAATGAGTGGGCTCACCAGAATTCAGAAGAGACAGGGAAGAAGAGAGGAGAAACGGCTCAAGAAGGCGACCCCGGGTATTCGTCAGAACGTCACCCCAAAGAGAATGACGACAATTGAAGTCACCCAGCAGGAGCACAGGCTCCGGCAAGGAGTCTAGGAGATGTTTCAAATCAGGAAGAGAAAGTGGGACACTCGGGGGGAGATAAATGGAACAAACTGTGTACCATTTCCCCACAAAGATACGAGCAGCAGAACAATGGAGAGGCGAAGGAAAAAGTAAAGGAACAAAGGGAACATTAGCACGAATCAAAAGAGCAGAAGAATTAGAAGCCCCAGCAACGGCTGGGGGGGGGGGGAGAGAGAAAGGAATAGCCACGAAAACGATCAGGACGAGCACCAAGCATCGGCTCCTGGAGACAGACACAAAGGGGCGAAAACCGCGAAATCAGAAGCTGGAGTTCGAGGAAATTGGCGTAATAACCTCGAACGTTCCATTGAAGAATGGACAACGACGAGAAGAGAAATAACAAAAACAGAGAACAAGGAAGAAACAAAGGCGAAAGAGCAACAGAGCACGTTAAAGAATATCAGGGTCGGGATCAGGGTCAGCAAAGTCAGGGTTAGGGGGCATGGGTAAACTGAGCAAAGACAGAGGGAAGGAAACGGGAGAACAGATCAGAGGTGGGCGGGCGGGGTGAGGAGGAGGAGGAGGAGGAGGAGGAGGAAGAGGAGGAGACAACGGAGAGGAGCAGTCAAGGACAGCAGCAGGAAGAGGAGGGGTAGAAAGAGGGGAGCACACCTCAGCAAGGGCAGCAACCGAGGGGGAAGCAGGGGCTAAAGAAACCTCCATAGCAGGAACAGGGGGCGCAACCACCGAAATGGGAGGGGAAGGAGCGAGAGAAGTAGGGGCCGAGGAAGAAAGCGAAACCTTCTTACCCGCCGGGGAGGAGGAAGGAGAGGAGCCAGGTTTACGCTTCTGACGTAAAGAGACAGGTGTCCCAGCAACCACGTACTGGGCAACGGATTCTAGCGTCTCAACAGGAGAAGCTGAACGAGAGCGCACATGACGGCAGTTTGGAGAGCGATGGACATCAGCCCGCACCGACAGGCGGCGGGAAGAGTCAAGAGACGGAGGGGAAGGATGGGAAGGAGGAACGGAGGGAGACAAGGAAGAAGACACAGGAGACACGACAGACCGGGTAGAAAGAAGGGGAACCCCAGACAGAGGACCAGGAGGTGGATCCTTCGGGAGAAAACCAAAAGGAACAGAGGAGGGGGCAGTGGGCGTATCAGGGTCCAAGGCCCGGAAACGGTTGTGAGTCTGAGGAAGGCGGGAAGGACGAGGAGAGGAAGAGCGCAACACGCGAGCATAAGAGATATTAGCATAAGGCGGGAGTCGGCGAACCTGGCGTCTCGCCTCAGGAAAAGATAAACGCTCCCGGTGCTTCAAGTTGAGGACGGCTGCCTCAAGCTTGTAATGGACACACGCACGGGAGAAGGTAGGATGGGCCTCAGCGCAGTTGAGGCAACGAGCCTGGGGAGAAGTGCACTCCGACTTAGAGTGACCTTCGCCCCCACACAAAGGACAGAGAGAGGCAGTCCCAGAGCAGCGGAGGGCACCATGCCCAAACCTCCAGCACTTGTTGCAGAGCCAAGGAGAAGGAATGTACTCCTGGACAGAGCACCTGGCATCAGCAAGAATGACAGAGGGTGGAAGGGTCCTACCATCAAAGGTAATCTTCACAACCCGGAGGGGTTGACGGCGACTACCACGAGGGGGACGAGTAAACGTGTCCACCTGGAGAATAGAATGGCCCTGGGCAGCAAGGATATGTCGAATATCGTCGTGGCAGTCGCGCAGGTCCCGAACACCGGTCGCAACATGGGGCGGGAGCAGAATAGTGCCAACACTGGCATTCAACTGAGCGTTCTTCGAGACCCGAACAGGGGTCTCGCCAAGGCAGGATAAGGCAGCCAAGCGGGAAGCAGCATCCTGAGAAGGAGCAGCAACGACACGTGTACCGAGACGAGTGGGGTTGAAAGTAATGGAGGCATCCACGGAATCAACGAGATGTTGATCGAGGGAGAAATCGTCAGGAGGCGCAGAATCAAGAGGGAGGAGATCAAAATATTTGGCCCACGAAGCGGGACCAAACAAGGCTTGATAGATAGCAAAACTGGAAGGAATCGAGCGAGGGCGGCCGTGACGAGGACGGCAGTGAGAACCCCCAGAGAGAGAGTGGTTAAAAGGCGCATTAGTTACAACTAGAGGAGCCGCGCATGGGACGAGGTAGTCACCACTGGGGGCTTGGGGCTCGACCCAACCACAGAGGAGGGAGGGGAGCCAGGGGAAGGAGTCAGAGAGGCCAAAGGAGGAGCAAGGTCGGGGCCCAATGCAGCAGAGGCTACAGAGCCCGGTCTTCCAACACGGACTGACTCGGGGGCTTGGTCGCCCACCCCACGTGCCTGAGAAGGTAAACCAGAAACAGTCGAAACAGGGGTCATCATCATTACGAAAAGAAAAATTCATTCACGAATGTGGTCCCACACCCACCATGGAGCCACAATTAGAGGCAGGACACCCAACAAGAAGCTATCGCCGATCTTGCCGGGGCCTCCTAGGGGTGCGTCGTGAGTATACGCCCCACAAACGCCACCTTAAGAAACCGACAGTCCGTCGAGATCGGGTTCAGTGACGAAAGAGGGATTGACAATAAAAGGTTCCCCTCGCTCTCGACGTCGGGTACTACAGTTCTACGGGTGCAAGAGTATGCCTCCTCAAGCACCCGGGCGTCAAAATAGAAGAAGTCAAAGGGAAGAACCAGAACAAGCAAAAGGTCGGCAGGAAACGGCAAGCAGATAGGAGAAGAGGGGGGAGAAAAACGAAACAGAAGGAAAAGGAAAAGGTGCCCAGCAGAATTGGAGAGGACGGCAGCAGGAGCACAAGGCTAGAAAAGGACAGAGGACTGTCCCAAGGAGCATCACACTCCGGCAGCCGCCCACTAAGCCCCCACACGGCAACAACGAGCTGAGCAGGGAGGGGGTGTGTTCAGTAGGAGCCAACAGTTCAAAGCTCGGGCTGTATTCAGTAGGAGCCAACAGTTCAGAGATAGGACTGTGTTCAGTAGGAGAAAACAGTTTAGGGCTAGGGCTGTGTTCAGTAGGAGCCAACACTTCAGGACTAGGGCTGTGTTCAGTAGGAACCAACAGTTGAAAGCTAGGGGTGTGTTCAGTAGGAGACAACAGTTATAGGCTAGATCTGTGATCAGTAGGAGCCAACAGTTCAGGGCTAGGGCTGTGTTCAGAAGGAGCGAATAGTTCAGGGCTAGGGCAGTGTTGAATAGGATCAAACAGTTCAGGGCTAGGGCTGTGTTCTGTAGGAGTCAACAGTTCAAGGCCTGAGCTGTGTTCAGTTGGAGTCAATAGGTCAGGGCTAGTGCTGTTTTCAGTAGAAGCCAACAATTCAGGGCTAGGACTGTGTTCAGTGGGAGCCAACAGTTCAGGGCTATGGCTGTGTTCAGTAGGAGTCAACAGTTCAGTCTGAGGGTTGTGTTCAGTAGCAGCGAACCGTTCAGGAAAAGGGCTGTGTTCAGTAGGAGTCAACATTTCAGTCCTAGGGTTGTGTTCAGTAAGAGCCAACAGTTCAGGGCTAGGGCTGTGTTCAGTAGAAGGTAACAGTTCAGGACTAGGACTGTGTTCAGTAGGAGCACATTGTTCAGGGCTTGGGCTGTATTCAATACCAGCCAATAGTTGAGGGCTAGGGCTGTGTTCAGTGGGAGGTAACAGTTCAGGGCTAGGGCTGTGTTCCGTAGGAACCAAAAGTTCAGGGCTAGGGCTGTATTTCAGTGGGAGCCAACAGTTCAGGACTAGGGCTGTGTTCAGTAGGAGGTAACAGTTCAGGGCTATAGCTGTGTTCAGTAGGAGCCAACAGTTCAAGGCAAGAGCTGTGTTCAGTAGATGTCAACAGTTCAGGGCTAGGTCTGTGTTCAGAAGGAGCAACCAGTTCAGGACTAGGGCTGTATTCAGTAGGAGCCAAGAATTCAGATCTAGAGTTGTGTTCGGTTGAAGCCAACAATTCAGGGCTAGGGCTGTGTTCAGTAGGAGCCAACAATTCAGATTTAGGGTTGTTTTCAGTAGGAACCAACAGTTCAGGGCTAGAATGTGTCTAGTTCGAGCCAACAGATCAGGGCAAGGGCTGTGTTCAATACCAGCCAACAGTTCAGGGCTAGGGCTTAGTTCAGTAGGAGCCACCAGTTCAAGGCAAGAGCTGTGTACAGTAGGAGTTAGCAGTTCAGGGCTAGGGCTGTGTTCAGAAGAAACCAACAATTCAGGCCTAGGGCTGTGTTCAGTAAGAGCCAGCAGTTCAGGGCTTGGGCTGTGTTCAGTAAGAGCCAACAGTTCAGGGCTAAGGCTGTGTTCAGTAGGAGTCAACTTTTCAGGGCTAGGGTTGTGTTCAGTAGGAGCCAACAGTTCCAGCCTAAGGATGTGTAATAGGATGTGTTCAGTAATAGCCAACAATTCAGAGGTGGGGCAGTATTTAGTAGGTGCCAACAGTTCAGGGTTAGGGCTGTGTTCAGTAGGATACAGCAGTTCAGGGCAATTGCTGTGTTCAGTAGGAGCCAAAAGTTCCGGGCTGGGGCTGTGTTCAGTACGAGCCAACCGTTCAGAGCTAAGGCTGTATTCAGTAGGAGCTAACAGTTCAGGGCTAGGGCTGTGTCTAGTTCGAGCCAACAGATCAGGGCTAGGGCTGTGTTCAATATCAGCAAACAATTCAGGGCTAGGGCTGTGTTCAGTAGGAGCCAACAGTTAAAAGCTAGGGCTGTGTTCAGTCGGAGTCAACAGTTCAGTCTGAGGGTTGTGTTCAGTAGTAGCCAACAGTTAAGGCCAAGGGCTGTGTTCAGTAGGAGTCAACATTTCAGGGCTAGGGTTGTGTTCAGTAGGAGCCAACAGTTCAGTGCTAGGGCTGTGTTAAGTAGGAGGTAACAGTTCAGGGCTAGGGCTGTGTTCAATAGGAGCCAACAGTTCAGGGCTTGGATTGTATTCAATACCAGCCAATAGTTCAGGGCTAGGGCTGTTTTCAGTGGCAGGTAACAGTTCAGGGCTAGGGATGTGTTCAGAAGGAGCTAACAGTTCACGGCTAGGGCTGTGTTAAGTAGGATCCAACAGTTCAAGGCAAGGGCTGTGTTCATTAGGAGTCAACAGTTCAGGGATAGGGCTGTATTCAATACCAGCCAACAGTTCAGGGCTAGGGCTTTGTTCATTAGGAGCTAACAGTTCAGGGCTAGGGCTGTGTTAAGTAGGATCCAACAGTTCTGGGCTATGGCTGTGTTCGGTAGGACCCAAAAGTTCTGGGCTAGGCCTGTGTTCAGTAGGAGCCAACAGGTCAGGGCTAAGGCTGTGTTCAGTAGGAGCCAACAGTTCAAGCCTAAGGATGTGTTCAGTAATATCCAACAATTCAGAGGTGGGGCTGTGTTTAGTAGGAACCAAAAGTTAGGAGGTAGGACTGTGTTCAATACCAGCTGACAGTTCAGGGCAATGGCTGTGTTCAGTAGGTGCCAACAGTTCAGGGCAATGGCTGTGTTCAGTAGGTGCCAACAGTTCAGGGCTAGGTCTGTGTTCAGAAGGAGCTACCAGTTCAGGGCTAAGGCTGTATTCAGTAGGAGTCAAGAATTCAGATCTAGAGTTGTGTTCGGTTGAAGCCAACAATTCAGGGCTAGGGCTGTGTTCAGTAGGGGTCAACAGTTCAGGGCTAGGGCTGTGTTTAGTAGGAGCCAATAGTTCAGGGCTAGGGCTGTGTTCAATAGGAGCCAACAGGTCAGGGCTAAGGCTGTGTTCAGTAGGAGCCACCAGTTCAAGGCAAGAGCTGGTACAGTAGGAGTTAGCAGTTCAGGGCTAGGGCTGTGTTCAGAAGAAACCAACAATTCAGGCCTAGGGCTGTGTTCAGTAAGAGCCAACAGTTCAGGGCTTGGGCTGTGTTCAGTAAGAGCCAACAATTCAAGGCTAGAGCTGTGTTCAGTAGGAGCCAACAGTTCAGGGCTAGGGTTGTGTTCATTAGGAGCCAACAGTTCAAGCCTAAGGATGTGTTCAGTAATAGCCAACAATTCAGAGGTGGGGCTGTGTTTAGTAGGAACCAAAAGTTAGGAGCTAGGGCTGTGTTAAATACCAGCCGACAGTTCAGGGCTATGGCTGTGTTCAGTAGGTGCCAACAGTTCAGGGCATTGGCTGTGTTCAGTAGGAGCCAAAAAATCAGGGCTGGGGCTGTGTTCAGTAGGAGCCAACCGTTCAGAGCTAAGGCTGTGTTCAGTAGGAGCCAAAAGTTCAGGGCTATGGCTGTGTTCAGTAGGAGCCAAAAGTTCAGGGCTAGGGGTCTGTTCAGTAGGAGCCAACAGTTTAGGGCTAGGGCTGTGTTCAGTTGGAGTCAATAGTTCAGGGCTAGGAATGTGTTCAATACCAGCCAACAGTTCAGGGCTAGGGCTGTGTTCAGTAGGAGCCAACAGTTCAGGGCTAAGGCTGTGTTCATTCGGAGCTAACAGTTAAGGGCTAGTTCTGTGTTCAGTAGGATCCACCAGTTCAGGGCTATGGCTGTGTTCATTCAGAGCCAAACGTTCAATGCTAGGGCTGTGTTCAGTAGGAGCCAACAGTTCATGGCTATGGCTGTGTTCAGTAGGAGCGAAAAGTTTATAGTTAGAGCTGTATTCAGTAGGAGACAGCAGTTCAAAGATAGGGCTGTATTCAGTAGAAGCCAACAGTTCAGGGCTAGGGCTTTGTTCAGTAGGAAAAAACAGTTCAGGGGTAGGGCTGTGTTCAGTAGGAGCCAACAGTTCAGGGCAAGGGTTGTGTTCAGTACTAGCCAACAGTTCAAAGCTAGGGCTGTGTTCAGTAGGAGGCAACAGTTCAGGGCTAGATCTGCGTTCAGTAGGAGCCAACAGTTTAGGGCTAGGACTGTGTTCAAAACGATTGTTCATAGCTAGGGCTGTGTTTAGCAGGAGCGAACAGTTCCGGGCTAGAGTTGTGTTCAATAGGATCTAACAGTTTAGGGCTAGGGCTGTGTTTAGAACCTGCCAACAGTTCAAGGCTAGAGCTGTGTTCAGTAGGAGCGAACAGTTCAGGGCTGTGTTCAGTAGTAGCCAAACTTTCTGGGCTAGGACTGTGTTCAGTAGGAGTCAACAGTTCAGGGCTAGGGCTGTGTTCAGTAGGAGTCATCAGTTCAGGGCTAGGGTTGTGTTCAGTAGGAGCAAACCGTTCAGGGATAGGCCTGTGTTCAGTAAGAGCCAACAGATCAGGGATCGGGCTCTGTTCAGTAGGAGCCAACAATTCAGGGTTAGAGTTGTGTTCAGGAGGAGCCAACAGTTCAGGGCTAGAGCTGTGTTCAGTTCGAGTCAACAGTTCAAGGCTAGGACTGTGTTCAGTAGGTACGAGCAGTTCAGGGCTAGGGCTGTATTCAGTAGGAGCCAACAGTTCAGGGTTTGGGCTGTCTTTAAAACGAGCAAACAAATCAGGGCTGGGGTTGTGTTTAACACCAGCCAACAGTTTAGGGTTAAGGCTGAGTTCTATACCAGCAAACAGTTCAGGGCTAAGGCTGTGTTTAGTATTACCCAATAGTTCAGAGCAAGGGCTGTGTTCAGTTGCAGTCAACAGTTCAGGACTAGGGCTGTGTTCAGTAGGAGCCAACAGTTCAGACCTAGGGCTGTGTTCAGTAGGAGCCAACGGTTCAGGGCTAGGGCTGTGTTCAATAAGATCCAACAGTTCAGTGCTAGGGCTGTGTTCGCAGAACCCAACAGTTCAGGGCTAGGGCTGTGTCAGTAGGAGCCAACAGTTCAGGGCTAGAGCTGTATTCAGTATGAGCCAACGGTTTAGGGCTACTGCTGTGTTCAGTAGGATCCAACAGTTCAGGGCTAGGGCTGTTTTCAGTGAGTCATCAGTTCAGGGCTAAGGTTGTGTTCAGTAGGAGCCAACATTTCAGGGATAGGCCTGTGTTCAGTAGGAGCCAACAGTTCAGGGATTGGGCATTGTTCAGTAGGGGCCAACAGTTTAGGGCTAGGGCTGTGATTAGTAGCAGCAAACAGTTCAGGGTTAGGGCTGTGTTCAGTTGGAGCCAACAGTTCAAGGCTAGGACTTTGTTCATTAGGAACCAACAGTTCAGGGCAAGGGCTGTGTTTAATACGAGCCAACAAATCAGGTCTAGGGCTGTATTTAGTTTATCCCAATAGATCAGGGCTAGGGTTGTGTTCAGTATCAGTTGACAGTTCAGGGCTAGGGCTGTGTTCAGTAGGAGCCAATATTTCAGCGCTAGGGCTGTGTTCCGTAGGAGAAAAAAGTTTATAGTTAGGGCTATGTTCAGTAGGAGCTAACAGGTCTGGGCTAGGGCTGTGCTCAGTAGGAGCCAAGAGTTAAGGGCTAGAGCTATGTTCAGTAGGAGCCAACAGTTCAAGGCTAGGGTTGAGTTCAGTAGGAGCCAACAGTTCAGGGGTAGGGCTGTGTTTAGAAGGAGTCAACAGTTCAGGGCTAAGGCTTTGTTCAGTAGGAGCCAACAGTTCAGGGCTTGGGCTGTATTCAGTAGGAGCCAAAAAGTCAGGGCTAGGGCTGTGTTTAATACGAGCCAACAGATCAGGGCTTGGGTTCTGTTCAATACCAGCAAACAGTTCAAGGCTAGGGCTGTGTTCAATACCAGCCAACAGTTTAGGGCCAAGGCTGTGTTCAGTGTGACCCAATAGTTCAGGGCTAGGGCTGTGTTCAGTAGCAGTCAACAGTACAGAGCTGGGGCTGTGTTCAGTTGGAGCCAATATTTCAGGGCTAGGGCTGTATTCAATACCAGAGAAAAGTTCAGGGCTAAGGGCTGTGTTCAGTAGGAGCCAACGATTCAGGGCTAGGGCTGTGTATAGTAGAAGCCAACAGCTCAGGGCTAGGGCTGTGTTCAGTCGGAGCCAAGAGTTAAGGGCTAGAGCTGTGTTCAGCAGGAGCCAACAGTTCAAGGCTAGGGTTGAGTTAAATAGGAGCCAACAGTTCAGGGCTAGGGCTGTGTTTAGTAGGAGGCAACAGTTCAGGCTTACGGCTGTGTTCAATAGGAGCCAACAGTTTAGGGCTAGGACTGTGTCAGTAGGAGCCAACAGTTCAGGGATAAGGCTGTGTTCAGTAGGAGAAAACAGTTCAGAGCTAGGGCTGTGTTCATTAGGAGCCAACAGTTCAAAGCTAGGGCTGTGTTCAGTAGGAGCCAACAGTTCAGGGCTAGATCTGTGTTAAGTAAGAGCCAACAGTTCAGGGCTAGATTTGTGTTCAGTAAGAGCCAACAGATCAGACCTAGTGCTGTGTTCTATACTAACCAACAGTTCAGGGCTAGGGCTGTGTTCAGTAGGAGTCAACAAATAAGGGTTAGATTTGTGTTCAGTAGGAGCCAACAATTCAGAGCTAGGGTTGTGTTCAGTTGGAGCCAACAGTTCAGAGTTAGGGTTGTGATCAAAACCAGCCAACAATTCAGGGTTAGGGCTGTGTTCAGTAGGAAGTAACAGTTCAGGGCTAGAGCTGTGTTCAGTACGAGCGAACAGTTCAGGGCAAGATCTGTGTTCAGTAGGAGCCAACAGTTCAAGGCAAGAGCTGTGTTCAGCAGGAGTCAACACTTTAGTGCTAGGGTTACGTTCAATAGGATCCAACAGTTCAAGGCTAAGGCTGTGTTCAGTAGGAGCCAACAGTTCAGGGCTAGGTCTGTGTTCAGTAGGAGCCAACAGTTCAGGGCTATGACTGTGTTCAATAGGAATCAACAGTTCAGGGCTAGGGTTGTGTTTTGTAGGAACCAACAGTTCAGACCTAGGGATGTGTTCAGTTGGAGTCAACAGTTCAGGGCTAGGGTTGTGTTCAGGAGGATCCAACAGTTCAGGCCTAGAGTTGTGTTCAGTAGGAGCCAACATTTCATGGTTAGGGCTGTGTTCAGTAGGTGCCAACCTCTCAGGGCTAGGGCTGAATACAATACCAGCCAACAATTCAGAGCTAGGGCTGTGTTCAGTGGGAGCTAACAGTTCAAGGCTAAGGCTGTGTTCAGAAGGAGCCAACAGTTGAAAGGTAGGGCTGTGTTCAGTAGGATCCAGCCGTTCAGGGCTATTCATGTATTCAGTAGGAGCCAAGAGTTCAGGGCTAGGGCTGTGTTCAGTAGGAGCCAACAGTTCAGGGCTATAGCTGTGTTCTGTAGGAGCCAAATGTTCATAGATAGGGCTGGGTTCAGTTGGAGCCAACAGTTCAAAACTAGGGCTGTACTCAGTAGGAGCCAACATTTCATGGCTAGGGCTGTGTTCAGTAGGAGAAAACAGTTCAGGGCTAGGGCTGTGTTCAGTTGGAGCCAACAGTTCAAGGCTAGGGCTGTATACAGTAGGAGCCAACAGTTCAAAGCTAGGGCTGTGTTCAGTAGGAGCCAACAGTTCAGGGCTAGATCTGTGTTCAGTAAGAGCCAACAGTTCAAGGCTAGAGCTGTGTTCAGAACTAGCCAATAATTCATAGCTAGGGCTGTGTTCAGTTGAAGTGAAAATTTCAGGGCTAGGGTTGTGTTCAATAGGAGCCAACAGTTAAGGGCTAGTGATGTGTTCAGTAGGTGCCAACAGTTCAAGATGCTAGCCTCCGGAGGAAGGCGACACACAAGTGTGGTCAGGAAAAACAACAGAGTAGCCCACACCGTCAGCAGACTTTTACCCGTCGGTGAAGATGGGAACGGAGTGGGAGCGAGAAGAAAAGTGCTCAAGGAAGAGGCGTTTCAGAACTGTAGGAGGGGTAAAAACTTTAGTGATGCGGGTCAGAGAAGTACAAAATTTGGGAATGGGGACCCTCCACGGGGGCAAGGAGGGAACAATACGAGGAGAAACATTAGTAAGACGAACCGAAAGAGAATCTTGTAAGCGAGACAAACGGACAGAAAGAGGAAGGTGGTGAAGAGGAACAGGAACTACAGGCGGGGTAAAAGTCAAAGCACGATAGAGGCGAGAGTGAGGATGCAGTAAGGATCGCGCAAGATAGCGAAGACTGTAGCGATCACGGCGATCCTGGAGAGACAGAAAGCCAGTGTCAGCGTACAAGCTGAGGGCAGGAGTTGAACGAAAAGCACCCGAGCTGAGGCGCAACCCAGTATAGTGCAAAGGATCAAGACGGCGAAGAGTAGAAGGAGAAGCAGAAGTGTATGCAGGGCAACCATAATCGAGCTTAGACAGGACGAGAGAGGAATGCAAATAGAGGAGTGTGCGCCTATCCGCTTCCCAAAAAGTATGGGACAAAACCTTAAGTAGGTTAAGGGCCTTAGACCATTCAACACGGAGGTAAGAGACATGGGGCGACCAAGACAAACGAGTGTCAAAGAATAACCCCAAAAGCTTCGTGGAATTGTACTCAAGGGGATGACCATAAAGTGACAAAGAGGGACGAAGAACGACCCGCTTCCGAGTAAAAGTCATGGCACAAGTCTTAGAAGTAGAGAACTTGAAGTCATGATTGGTGGCATGAGACGACACGGCATCAATCGCAAGTTGAAGCCGCCGTTGAAGGAGAGGCGAATCATCACCTCGACAGCAAAGAGTAAGATCATCAACATAAAGAGCGGAGAAGATGCCAGAAGGAAGGGAGGAAAGGAGACCATTGAGGGCAACCAGAAAAATAGTAGTACTCAGAACACTACCTTGGGGCACACCTTCATTCTGCCGAAAAGAGGCAGAGAGAGTGGCACCAAGCCTGACTCGAAAGGAACGACGAGAGAGAAAGCTTTGAAGGAAGAGAGGGAGATTATCACGAAGGCCAAAAGAACGAAGTTGGGACAGAATATGGTATCTCCAAGTCGTATCATAAGCCTTTTCCAGGTCAAAAAGGACAGCAACAACGGAGGTCTTCGCAGCAAAAGCAGTACGAATATAGACCTCCAAGTTCACCAGGACATTAGTCGTGCTGCGGCACTTGCGAAAACCAAATTGAGAAGGAGAGAGGTGGTGATGGTGTTCCAAGAACCACATCAGACGGACATTTACCATACGCTCAAACAGCTTGCAAACACAACTCGTGAGAGCAATAGAGCGGAAGTCCTTAGAGGACGTACCGAGAGACCCTGGTTTCCGAATAGGGAGTACAACGGCATCGAGCCAGTCCTCAGGGATGGACGACGACTCCCAGACCTGGTTATACAGATTCAGTAAATACTGAAACGTGCACGGAGGGAGATGGCGAAGCATCTAATAATGAACATCATCCGAGCCCGCTGCCATAGATCCGCAGAGGGCCAGGGCAGACTGAAGTTCAGAAAGAGAAAGGATCGTTATAGGGAAGGCGGAGACGAGTGTGGAAATCTAAAGGATAAGATTCAAGAACAGGCTTACGATGAAGGAAGGATTGAGGAAGATGAGAACCAGATCTAACAGAAGAAAAGTGGGAACCCAGTTCGGCTGCGACCTTCACTGGATCCGCCACAAGAGTCCCACGGAGGTGGAGAACCGGCGAGATATCTGGAACAAACTTGCCCGCAATCTTGCGGATCTTCTTCCAGATCTGTGGTAGAGGAGTATCGGACGTAATGGTGGAAACATAAGATTTCCAACTCTCACGTTTAGCTGTATGGATGGTCCTATGGGCCACCACACTTGCCTACCGAAACAGAGTAAAAGAATCAGCCGTCTGCCGGCGGCGGTGTTTTTTCCAGGCTGCACGCTTACAGCCCGAGCACAATCCGCATTCCACCAGAGAACACACTTCCGTGTGCCCCAAGAGGAAGAGCGAGGGATAGAGCTGAGGGCAGCGTTGAAGACAGTGTCATAAAAAAGGAGGAGGGCGCGAGGAAGAGGCAGAGAGGAGAGGTCAGAGAGAGTAGCACGGAGGGTGAATAGGCACCAGTCAGCCTTGGCAAACTGCCACCTAGGGAAGGAAAGGGGAGGGTGGAAAGAGAAAAAAGAAACGAGGATGGGGAAATGATCACTTATGGAGGTCATCAAGAACCTGCCACGTGAAATTTAAGTAAAGGGACGACGAGCAGAGAGAAAGATCAAGACAGGAAAGGGTGCAAGTGCGAGAGTCCACATGAGTGGGCTCACCAGAATTCAGAAGAGATAGAGAAGAAGCGAGGACGAACGGTTCGAGAAGACGGCCTCGGGTGTTTGTCAGAACATCACCCCAGAGGGAATGTCGACAGTTGAAATCACCCAAAAGGCGCACCGGCTCTGGCAAGGAGTCCAGGAGGTGCTTCCCAGCAAACACAAATCATCTACACAACGTTCGCCTATCTCTTCCCATAGGTGTGGGAATGATTTGCATTGAGAATGGTGCAGGAGAGCCTTTGAGAAACTTTTACTCAAAAAATCCAAACACAAAGGTTTAATTATAAATTGTTTTTCTACAATTATTTTCTTCCAAATGTAAAACAAATAGTTTTTACATGTTTAAATATAAAATTTATGGTGTTTTTTTGTAAAATTCACTAATAAATTGTGAATGATATATATTGGCTGAGTGAAACCTTTAAAATCCATTTAGTTATAATATGAACAGAAAAAAGTAGTTTTCCAAATTTTCTAAAAATCGCTCTTTTTAACACAATTTGACTCCTTATGCATTCCACTAAACACTAATATCATGTTTAAATATATAATTTATGTATTATTCCCTAAGATAATTTATATAAATTATAAAAGTTGCTGGAAAGTGGTGAGAAAGAATCTGAAAACGTTTTGTTGTCTTATATTGGCGTGTTCTTATTAACTAGAGTGAGTAAGAGTGAGCGAGAGTGGGTAAGAGTGAGTAAGAGTGACTGAAGGTGAGTGAGAGTGCCAGAGAGTGTGTAAGTGTGAGTAAGAGGGAGTATAAGTAAGAGTGACTGAGAGTGAGTAAGAGTGACAGAGTGAGTAAGAGTGAAAAGTAAGGGTGACAGAATGAGTAAGAGTGAGAGTAAAGTGATTGAGAGTAAGGGTGAGTATGAGAGTAAGAGTGATTGAGAGTTAGAGTGAGAGTAAGAGTGATTGAGAGTTAGTGAGAGTAAGAGTGATTGAGAGTAAGAGTGATTGAGAGTAAGAGTGATTGGGAGTAAGAGTGATTGAGAGTAAGAGTGATTGGGAGTAAGAGTGATTGGGAGTAGGAGTTAGAGTGAGAGTAGGAGTAAGAATGAGAATAAGAGTGATTGAGAGTAAGAGTGAGTAAGAGTAAGAATGAGAGTAAGAGTGATTGAGAGTAAGAGTGATTGAGAGTAAGAGTGATTGAGAGTAAGAGTGATTGGGAGTAAGAGTGATTGGGAGTAAGAGTAAAAGTGAGAGTAAGAGTAAGAATGAGAATAAGAGTGATTGAGAGTAAGAGTGATTGGGAGTAAGAGTAAGAGTAAGAATGAGAGTAGGAGTGATTGAGAGTAGGAGTGATTGGGAGTAGGAGTGATTGGGAGTAAGAGTGATTGAGAGTAAGAGTATTTGAGAGTAAGAGTATGAGAGTAAGAGTGAGAGAGTGAGTATGAATGGGTAAGGGTGACTGAGAGTGAGTAAGAGTGACAGAGTAAGAATGACAGAGTAAGAGTGATAGAGAGTAAGAGTGACAGAGAGTAAGAGTGACAGAGAGTAAGAGTGACAGAGTAAGAGTGACAGAGAGTAAGAGTGACAGAGAGTAAGAGTGACAGAGAGTAAGAGTGACAGAGAGTAAGAGTGACAGAGAGTAAGAGTGACAGAGAGTAAGAGTGAATATGAGAGTGAGTAAGGATGACTGAGAGAAAGAGTGAGTAATAGTGCGTAAGAGTGATTGAGAGTTAGAGTGAGAGTAAGAGTGATTGAGAGTTAGTGAGAGTAAGAGTGATTGAGAGTAAGAGTGATTGGGAGTAAGAGTGATTGAGAGTAAGAGTGATTGGGAGTAAGAGTGATTGCGAGTAGGAGTAAGAATGAGAATAAGAGTGATTGAGAGTAAGAGTGAGTAAGAGTAAGAATGAGAGTAAGAGTGATTGAGAGTAAGAGTGATTGAGAGTAAGAGTGATTGGGAGTAAGAGTGATTGGGAGTAAGAGTAAGAGTGAGAGTAAGAGTAAGAATGAGAATAAGAGTGATTGAGAGTAAGAGTGATTGGGAGTAAGAGTAAGAGTAAGAATGAGAGTAGGAGTGATTGAGAGTAGGAGTGATTGGGAGTAGGAGTGATTGTGAGTAAGAGTGATTGAGAG